ATGTAAATCTCTGGATCTCCATACTCCTCTTTGATCCAGTTGAGCAGTCTTCTCAAGCCCCATGCAACAGCTCTCTGCTTACTGATGGCAGTAGTTGGTGAATCACTTTCCTCTGCTTCTGACAAGTCCTGGTCATCTAAATATGATTGAGGGCGAAGCCGGGCAGTATCATGGCTTACTATCTTTGTAGTGTAATGATTTACACAGAACATGTCAGCAGTTCCCTTGATGAACATCTTTTCTTCTTCGCTAAATGAAGGTAGTCTTGTCTCTTTAAGACCTTGGAGCTCACTTTTGTTTCCAACTTGCCATTTCATGGCATCAGGATAGTCACCGTTCTTGAAAATAGGGTGTCCAAACCAACCTAATTGGAACTGCAGAGCGCGGTCAGCAGCCACCACTTCACGAGGAACATTAACATATTTAGGTTCAAACCAATCAGCATTAAGGGCAATGGATATAAGACCACCTTGGGATGCACGATACTTATCATCATATGTGTGGTAAGCCTTGGCGTGGGCCTTTATAAGGTTGTGTGCAACTCTGTATGGTGCAATTCCTGGATTTGTAACATTGGGTGGGATCTGTCCAAGTCCATATCCTGACCACGCAATTGTATGAGGCTGGTTGAAGGTCATCCAGAATGTCACTCTGTCGCCAAAGGTGGCAAAGCAGAAGTCACAAAAGTCGTTAAAAATGTTAATCATCTCTACATTGTCCCAGCCACCAAGTTTTTGCAAAGCTTCAGGAAGGTCCCAGTGGTACAGTGTCACCATGGGAGTGATGTTATATGCTAAGAGGCCATCAATGAGTCTATTGTAATAGTCAACACCTTTCTGGTTCAGAGATGTACGCTGACCATCAGGAAAGATCCTGGACCAGGACAAAGAGAATCTGTACGACTTCACCTTCAGAGCACGCAGCATGTAGAAGTCTTCTTCAAGTCTGTGGTAGCTGTCACAGGCCACATCCCCATTAGCATTATCAGGAATATTGCCATTTTGGGTGAATGTATCCCAGACGCTGGGCCCCTTCCCATCAGCATTCCAGCCACCTTCAATCTGGTAGGCCGAAGATGATACTCCCCAACTGAAGCCTTGTGGGAAAGTGCCGTAGTGGTAGAGTTTTCTCTGAAAATTTGACTGAATTGAGAATTTCTCCCAGACAACCTTTGATTTAGAGGGAACCTCTGAGGGTGGTAAAGCAGTTGTACGGGGAGTAAATCGCATCTTTGCCGAATTAAAAAACTCCCCCTTGTGGCCACCAAATCCATTTTGCTTTATAACCTGAGAGTAGAAATATGCAGATTGCTTCGGGGTTCTTGGTCCGTCTGCATCTTCAAAGTTGACATAATGAAGACCAAACCTTTGGCTGTAGCCTTTTTTTCCCTCAAAGCCATCCATGAGTGACTCCGCTGTGAATCGCTGCACATTCACTCCATCTAAGAAAATGGCTAAAAAAAAAAAAGACACGCAACAGCACATCAAAGTTTATATTATTTTAACACAGGGTAAAAGGTGGTTGCCTATTAGATACATTCTAGACACTCACCTTTAAGGGCCTCATTGATGTGACTCTTCATGTAGTCTATTCTACTGACATCATTCAGACTGTCCCCAATGTGCTCAGTAGGCATACCATTCCCAGTAATGTGTATAGGCACTTTGATAATGTTCAAATACTCTGTGGAAATGTAGTTTAAAAGCCTTCTGAGACCCCAAGGTGCAGAATATATCCAGTCAGAAGCTGTTGAGGACCATGAGGGATCTACGTGTGACTGGAAGTTGCCAACCCCCTGAGGACCAGGGGTGCAGCCACCAACACTGTTGTTGACTAACCGGGAGGTATAATGGTTCAATCCAAAATAGTCAGCGGTTCCGTGTATCCTCTTCCTCTCTTCAGCTGTGAAGACTGGGAGTATTGCAGGCTCAGAGAGAGGACACTCTTTTATTTTCTGTTCAATTTGAGTCTTGAATGCTGCAGGATAATCTCCATCGACAAATATGGGATGTGCAAACCAGCCCAGCATGAACTGCAGGTAGCGATCTGCAGCTGCGATGTCTTCTGGTCTGGAGGGGTCCACGGGTTCAGCCCAGTCAGAGTTCAATGCAATGCCCACTCTGCCTCCTTGTGTCTTCCTGTACTTCTCATTGTAGACATGCCAGGCCTCAGCATGGGATTTGATCATGTTGTGAGTCGCCTGCATAGATAACATAAATAATGAGGTAATTGCATGAGGTTGGCTGTGTGTCAATATGTATTTACAATATAGTATAAATATTGCCCTCACCTGGTATGAGGCCACCACATAGTCTTTCACTCCTGGGGCATGCTCACCAGTGCCGTACCCAGCATGGCTCACCACCCAGGGGCTACTGAAAGTGTTCCAGGTCTTGACTCTGTCTCCGAACCTGGAGAAGCAGAAATCTGCATAGTCTTTGAAGGTTTCAACAATGGAAGCGTTGGTCCATCTACCACAGTCCTGGAGGGCCTGGGGCAGATCCCAGTGGTAGAGAGTGACAACAGGTTGTATACCAGAATCAATGAGAGCATTGATCAGCTTGTCATAGTAGAGAGCACCTTTCTCCGACTGACTGCCCCGATGGCCCGAAGGGAAAATACGAGCCCAAGAGATGGAAAACTGGTAGGTGTTAACATGAAGACCTCGCAGGAGGTAGACATCATAATCCACCTTGTGGTAACTGTCACAAGCGAGATCAGCGGTCTGATTGGCAAAGGCTAGACCATAATGACCAAAACGGTCCCAAATGGACTCCCCCTTCCCATCTTCTGCCCAGCCTCCCTCCACCTTGAAGGACTCGCTGGAGGAGGCCCATTGGAAGTCAACGGGAAATGATTCGTTCAGGAAAGCATCTCGCTCAGTCGAAGTCATGGTGGCAAAATTACTCCAAGTTTTGCAGTAGGTCAATGAACATGACGACGTTTGAAGATGACTTCTGTCACTTTGATGTGAATGACTGAAGATAAGAGGAACAACACGTTGAAATTTAAATCAGATGATAATACTAAGGCAATAATCCAACAACTATACTTTGTCATAGACTGGGATAAACAGGTGGAACCAAGTTACATTATTTATTCTAAATTGGGGTTGGGGTAATATTGCAGTTTGAATCTTTGTCATTTGTAATGTAATACCGTTTTGGGGTGGGGTCAGCTGGACGTAACATGTCTACCATGTCAAATCCAAGAACATTTTGGCGTCCATTGCCCAGCGCTGTAAAAGTATAGGAATGTATCACATGATGCAGGTACATTATATCATTGTTATTCAATTATATTAGAATCCCTTGAACGAGTCATGTCAGTCTTCATATAGTCAATCTCAGGTATTAAATAAATAAATGACAGACAGAGGTTAGACCAAGTCATTATTTTGTGTCAAGTCTTTGCATGTCGAATGGTTCTCTCCTGCAACTTGAATAGCTAATGTCTGATTGGTTCAAGCAAAATACATCTGCTAATTTAAGTGTTTATTTGCTGGGAATAAATTTTTGGCAAACTCGAAAAACACATGTTTTTAACTTTGGGCTTGGGGGAAGGCTTCAAGTGTTTTCAAGTCAAAAGGCACAAGTTGAAATGGAGTCACAAATTACTTGTTTTTAAGTCCAAGTCAGGTTGCATTCATCAAACTTGCGACTTAAGTCTGACTTTAATCCAAGTCATGTGACTCAAGTCCACAGACCTGCTATTTAACACTTTATAAATCACAATTTATCAGGATTTGTTGTATTCGTCATGGGAAGGAAGGAAATCTTATCACTTATCCAAGGTTGTGACTCTTGATGGACCATCATTACCTTTTAATATGTTGGTATCTGACAGGAACTGATAAGAAGAACAGTCCATGAGGTCCACCTCATAAAACAGTATTGGTTTGTCTCCACACTTTCCCTGCAAGGAAACATTGATGTTCAATTGAAGTAAACAAAATCATTGGCTGAAATTTGTGTTATTTTGTGAATACTGTAAATACCAAGACACTTTTCAGTTCCTCAGCCAGGTTTTGTCCTGCGGTGCAGTCATATTGAATTTTAATGGAGAGAAAATCTGTATATTTCTGAAATATAACAATAAACATATGTATGAGTGAAGCTGGATGTTAAAGGCATATTACCCTGGCACACACAAAATAACTTATTTCAAAAATAATGAGCTTGTTTTGCGCTTGTCCATATGATCTCACCAGTAGTTGAGTGTCACTGATGATTGGGACTTTACTGGCCTTTACCCCAACTGATATTCCTCCATCTGAAACACATTGCATGTTAATTCAGTAGATCTGCACTTCTACTCCTAGACATAAAAACACATTCTCCTTCCCCAATGTTTACTGCCTTCCCTTATCACGACCCTTGGTAAACATTGCAAACAGATATAGAAACCATTATCTCATAAAGCACTGCCATAACAACCCTGTCTCACTGCATTTCATGTTATAGTCACAATATTTAATCTATTGATTCGTGTTCACCATCACGATTTTCCCCTTTTTTTCATGTCACACAGAACGATTTTAAAAGCAATGTATTTCTATTGGTAGTATGTTTCGTGCCTGCAACACGTCTTTTTGTCCAGTCTTGGAAGACCGGAAGCTGTGTGGTTCATAAAAACATGTTCTTACTCAATATCAAGCCACGATTATTGTTTTTATTTTAAATCGTATAATGTCGAACTTGTTTTGCCCTCTGTGAGGAAAATAAATGGGGCTCACAGCTTCAGAATACTGAAATCTGTATTTTTTAAATCTTTTTTTCCCTTCTGTGACAAAGGTAACTTCGTCACAGAAGTAATTTGAACTAATTTGTTTTCTAAATAACACACTGTTATTTACTCAACAATAACACACAATTATCCTTGTTTTTATTTATTCGCCTAATTCTATCATCTCAGGCTTTTTAGCCGTTCCTCAGGAACTGAATTTCAAAATAAAGTCACCGGAAACAGACGTAGGCCTATAAGGGACATTTCGAGCATCATTGCGATACACACCACTAACCCACTGAACTGATTACCCAAGATCCTCAGCTAAAAGCTTGGTGATTGGATTGAAATCCGAAAAACATTTTAAAAAGAAAATAATAATACTTTATTCCGAGTATGCTTGCTTTTCTCTTTGAAATTCACCACATAGCATGCGATCACATCGCATTGTAATACAAAGTTCGGCTGCATTAAATATTACACATCTGCCGTAGTTCTTTATTTATAGAGCCCTGATGAGAAGACTTCTGGACAAACTGGAAGAACTGCCACCGAAACTGAATACGTGACGTGGATCATAAATATATTAAACAACATCTTCCTTTTCTTTTCACACAATACGTCTCCTTGTATCAACCTTAATTCGGCTGACTTTTATATTTGATCCAATTGGTAGATAGGCTGTATTTACGCCATAACGGTGCAGAGCTGATATAAAAGGACTTGTAGTTTTTAAAGATATTACAGATTTTCTTTGAATATAAGAATGTAAATACTGAGTTGAGAGAATAGTCAGGGGATTTGGGTGATGGGAGACACATCCATGGAATCAGAATTTCAATAGCTTACCATTAAATGACGGATATACCTTTCTGTCTGTGATGTTTTACAAATCAGATATTAGAAGTAAAACATGTGAAATAATATAGCAATATCCTGTAAAATGATGTGAAAAACATGAATAAAACTACACATCTTCAGATGTTATACATACATAAGTTTCCTACACTAATAATACAAAGTTATTATGGCATTGTATGCTGTACCTTCACGAGGTTTTGATATGCACGTAGTCCCAGGCTAACTACATGCTATTGTTTAGCTAGTACCTGGAACGACGGATCCCACCGAGCATGGTGATGTGAATACTCGATAGCGAATCGAGCTTGTACCACCAAACAATACCTGTTAGGTACTGACGGTGTCTCAGGTCATTGTTTGGTCAGGTGAGGCCAAGTCTAGTCCACCCGCAAGGAGGGTTAGTGAGGTATTAGTTCTACAGAGGTAGTACGAGGAGGTAGTACACGCACTTTATAGGGGTCCGGTCGTTCTATTTCTCAGGAGACGAAGTCCATCGGGAGTATGTCCTGAGAAAGGTACGGTCCCCCCACCCACCCAGAGGTTCCATCACCTCCCGCTAAAATGACGACTACCGACCCGAAACCGACGGACTATACCCGTGGTTCGTAGTTGTGCGAGTCCCAAAATAGGCGGATTCGAGGCTTCCGCAATCCCTCCGTTGGGAGAGCAGGTGACCCCATCTGAAGGTTTGTGTAGCGTTCTGGGTTGCCTGAACACTCATACGACGCGAACGAATTACGCTATACACAATTTTATGGCTTCTTTTCGTAAAACGTTCTCAAATCGCTACGCTTCTCTTGATGATGTCGATGGGATAGGAGGAAAGAAACAAAAGAAGACGCTGATCACAAAGGGACGACAACAAAATTAGAAGTTTGAGAACCGCTAACCTACAACCTCCAACGTCAGCGGCTTCATGCGGGAGAAAAGACTCGCCCAGTTTGTCGACAACGTTTAACCTTGATTTGGTACCGGTCTGATAGGTTTTGACAAAAAAAAAAAGAAAGATGAGCGTTGCGGTGGGGGTCTACCAGATAGTGTAAGGGATAACACAGACAAACGGGGTTGTCAAGATACCGGTGCAGAGATGATCGCCTTAACATCGGAAAATTTTCTGCAAAAAAACCCAGGGTTTTATCTTCAACTAGTCATTATTTGACGGAATTTGTGGGGACCTCGCAATCGCGGCGTATCTTTGTTTACCACACACGTTTAATTTTGTAATAATTATTTTACCCACTTTTAGCCGGACCACAATGTATTACGGTTCGTAATTATATATGGTGAGTACTGAGTAACGGAAAGAACATTAAGATGAGGTGATGTTAAGTACTCCAATAGGACGATAACAAATGAGTAATGTAAATAAACCCGTCAATGAAAGGTCTATAAGACTATTACGAGTACGACCTCTTTGATATTTGTTGGGAATTCCGACTGGAATAGTACGTTTTACGTGAAATGCAGAGAAATATGTACTTATACACAGGGCGGCACGGAGGCGACCTTGTAGTGGTTCGATCAGTCTTTTGTGTTGTGGAGAGATAAAAGGAGGTATAGGAGTTTAGAGATTTTTCCCCGGACGTTGCGTCTTACGACCTATGTCTGACGAGGTCTATAACTCTGTGAGGACGACTGCAGTTTTTCAACCGCGATGCGATAACGGGGCCGGTTGAGGTGGTTAGTCCTCCTCTGTCGGTGCGCTGTACCGGGTTAGCTTTCGAGGCCTCTGCGACGATCCATGTTATATACGGTCCGGACGACGTACAGGGACAAGAGTGTATTAGTCGGGGGTAAACGTTTCTGACGAGAATTTAACTCGCTTCTACTCGCTTACGCGATTTTACGCTACTAGACAAGACGCGATAAACGTTTTTATTTTCTCATAATTTCATAAGGAAAATATAATCATACAGGATGTATACAATAAGTTTATATCGATACTATCGCAGGTGAAATTTAGTCGCGAAATCAATGTGGACTAACAGTTTACGGTTGTTAAGTACACTCTATAACTATCCAACGCGACGGACGGCTAGGGCTATTTTCATATAGTATGAGCAATAAGGTGAATTACAATTAATTTCGTGACAATATTACCGATAAAACTTGTAGGGAAAAGTATCTAAAGTTCTAAAGATTTCCAATCGACTGTATACGTATATGTGTTGATAAGTTATTGCACGAA